CAAGATAAGGGCAATACTTAAGCCTCCATTTGGCTTATAAATGGTTTATAAAAAAGAATAGTAAGAAAAATAGTTGTGTATCTCAAAATATTTTACTTTGACTCAATTTAGACTAAGGCCCGTTTGAGCCCCATTTTTTTTCATTCCATTGCATTAATTTTCTCTCTCTTCATCTCAACCGCACATTCATCAATAAAATAATATTACACACAAATCTAAAACTTTTCTATCACACATTCTCCCATTAATCACTATTCTACAAATTTTCAATCCCAAAAAATGGGGGCCAAACAGGGGCTAAATTACTGATACTATCCCTTGTTCAAGAATTAAAACTCTCAAAGTCACCATAATAGACAGCCATTGCCACCAAATTTGGGTGGAGGGATTTGAATTGTATCATAACAAATTAACAACTTAATAAATATTAAAAGAAAAAGTGATACAACCAATGATCACGAAATCAAGATGCTGCACAGTTTGACCCTTCATATTCTCTGCACATTTAATAGCATTTGTTTTCCTTGAATAATCAATTTCCAGTAGAATAAACCCATTAATTTCACAAACACAGTGAATGACGGAATCCATCCAAAGACAGGGCTTTTTTCACGTATTCATGAACAGATTTACAGACATCAACACACGAGACAATGGGCAAAGCTGATGATGAAATTGCGAAACTTCGGAAGGCGCCCAGCTTCTATTTTGAGCCTGATGGCAATGGGTTTGCTCAGAGTTGTCAATGCAAGCGTCCCAAGCTTCAACAAAGGGAGGCCATTACTGATCACTCTTTTCTTCTCTTTCTTGTTAATTGATCGTCAAATCCAATCAAATAAAAAAAAATCTCTAATCTTTATGTATTTATACATATGCGAGGAATCGTGAATGTTAGTCGAGAATGAAGTATTGACTGGTCTGGAGGAGGCGAGTTTCTTGAGAAGGAAGGCAAATGCGTGCTGCCAAGCGACTGGAAGAACAATTTTGATTCTTCGAAAATTTAATAATGAATAATCATAATAAAATATAGAACGACGGGGTCTCTTGAGATGTTAGCTTCTTTCTTTTTTACGAAAGAACTCAGAAAACTTGTACAATGACTTCAAGAACAGAGGAAAAAACAGCAATGGACTTTTTGGAACCAAGAAAAATGCAAAAACATAATAGATAGATAAAAAAAAGCTACAGAAAAAGAGTCTCAATTCATTTCTTTTCTTCAAACAAAATACATACTACATAAACTAGACTTCGGGTTATGCTACATGTACCCTATGGATTACACTTTTGTTTACTCGGGCTCACCTCTTCCCTTACATGGGGGTCGAGTCCCAAGCATTTATTGGACGTGGGACCCGACCTCATGTGAGAGAGGAGATGGAGTCGGGTAAATAAGAGTGTAATTTATAGGGTACAAATAGCATAATTCACTTTTCTTTACATAAAAATGGAAAAGTACACAAAAGGCTTGACCTAAAGTACAGTAGCTATCCATTCAACATGGCTACTGCAGCCTACTTTACTTTCTACCGTAGATTAAAGATAGCCTAAGCTAGGAGTTTTAAATAAAAGCTTCAGTTCCTTCATTCTCCTCCTTGAAGCTTTTAATAACACTCTATTAGAATTTGGGTGTGACTCAAATTCTTTGTTAAAGTAATTAAAAAACTCTAATTAAAATGCATGTCACGAAGAATTCAGTTTGTAATGCTATTGAAATCCTATGTCAAATTGAAATTCTATTTTGGAAATTCATTGGGAGTCGAAAATTGGTATTGAACTTGAAAAAGAGTTCGGGATGGAGAAAACAATTTGGAACAAAAAAATGTGCAGAACGCCCGGCGCCGTAGCGCCCGACATAGGCACCCCAGCGCCACCTATACCTGTTCCGATTTTATCTGATTTTTCATTTTGGATTTGATTTTTTTTTTTTTTTTGCATCATATTTCATCAACAACTCTACTATGAAAGTTTGAATATCCCCTACATATTTCCTATAAATATTAGGTTCTTATATACAATTTCATAATATGAGAAAATAGATAATTAGAACTTTAGGATCAATTATATATTTCTCCATTATTATTGGTGTAATAAAATCACATAATTCTTCTGTCGTATTTTCTTGTCTTCTTTTATTCTTTTACTTATAGTCAAATACTTCATTATTGTGTCATAAAACTTCAACATTTCAATCCGGTGGTTTGTTTCATATCAAGTAGTATCGAAGCGATACATAATTCTTGAATTCCCAACAATTGGTATCAAAGATTCTGGACATAATTAACACAACAAGTGGTATCAGAGTGTCAGGTTCAGCAGTTCCGCGAGAGCACATGGTTTGATTTGTTCGAGATTTTTTTGTTCATGATGGCTTCCATGAAGTATGAAATTTCACTTTTAGATCAGAACACTAAATTTTCGCTATGGTAGGTTAAGATGCGTGAAATACTCGCACAACAGAATTTGGATGATGCGTTGTTGGAAATTGATAAGATGCCTGCAACTTTGACCGCGAAGGAGAAATTTCAGAAGGATAAGAAGTCAGTTTCTCACATGCAACTTCATCTATCGAATAACATTTTTCAGGATGTTTCGAAGAAGAGCTCAGCAGCTGCTTTATGGTTGAAATTGGAGCAATTGTGCATGACTAAAAGTCTTACAAGCAGGTTGCATCTCAAACAGTATTTATACTCTCATCGAATGACAGAATGAGGATCATTGGAAGATCACCTGGCTATATTTAAAGAGATCGTCGCTGATTTGGAAACTTTGAAAGTAAAGTATGATGAAAAAAATTTGGCGTTGATTATATTGTGTTCGTTGCCCGCTTCGTTTTCTTCATTTAAAGACATGATATTGTATAGTCGTGATACTCTCACCATAGAGGAGATGTATGATGTTTTGTTTTCTAAAGAGAAGATGAAGCATCCGGTTTCAGAGGTCAGAGATAGAGAAAGTCTTGTTGCTCATGGTGGTTCAGGAAGGGGCATATCGAAATCTAAGTTCAGTAACCAGATTTGCAACTTCTGCAAGATTCTACAAGAAGAAACGGCACTTGAATAGGGATTGCTACAAATTGCAGAATAAAAAAAGGTTGGCTGCAAGTCGATATATGAAGCAATCAGAGACTTCAGGTGAAGCAGACCTCGCAGAGAACATTGTAAGTAAGGGAGATTTCTTGGTTATTTCTGACGTCGAGTCTAAACCAGATGAGGATTGGATTTTGGATTCAGCGTGTGAGTTTCATATGTGTCCTAATAAAGACTTGTTTACCACATATAAAACTGTTTTCAAAGGTGTCGTGGTTATGGAAGACAACACATCTTGTCGAGTTGCTAAAATTGGTACAATCAGATTGAAGCTATTGGGTGGGACAATTAGAACACTTGGCCGATTCGACATGTTCCGAATTTGAAGAAGAATCTCATCTCGTTATCTATCTTTAATTCAAAGGGTTATGAGTTCTTTGGTGCAGGTGGAGTTTTGAAGGTTTGTAAGAGTGACCGATTGTATTGGAGGGACATAAAATGTCACAGTTATACATCTTGCAGTGTCATACAGAATCTAGAATAGTCAATCAACACAGGTTCAGCACCATGGTGGACATTCAGTTTGGTACAATACATTTAGTAGCTCGTAAAGGGTTGGATTTAAAGAATGGTGCTCAGTGGAGTTTAGGAGATATGGATAATGCTGCATTGTCATCATCACTTGTAGTGCCATTGTATTCAATTGTTAGGGACGGAACTAGTGATAAAAGGTATGTGGATGCTGATTTTGTTGAGCATACTTTCAGCGTTATAGAAGATGTACGATCTAGCAGTGGGCCTTCTTTAAAAACATTTGGATTTAATTCTACTTTGGGTATGTTACAGCCCAATTTGGTAAATTTTAAAATCATTATGATTTTTTTGGGAATCTGGGGTAATTCTGCAGAATAGTCTTTGGATTCATTGGAAGATGTGGAGTATTTTGTGTTTAGTTGAAAAAATCAGTTTTGGTTATTGTTGAAGAATCAGTTTATTCCTTGTGGAAGGATTTTCTTCTCCAAGTGGAGAATATTTTGGAGTTTTGTTCGTTGCAATGGAATATTTTGGAGTTTTGATTGTGTCATGTTTTGCAACTGGAGCAAAGGTTACAAAGTAATCAACACCACTTCTTGAGCTAGAGAAAGATTCAAATAAACCATCATTCAACAGCTAAACTCTACCAAAGGTGGCTGAATTTCAGGAACTGTAATAGGAGTGTCCTACTGCATAATTGGAAAATGAACAGATTGTTGTTGTGGCTTGGCTTCCTCCCAATTTCATTTATCATTTTCATCAACTTTAACATCTCTAGAAACTGAAATTTTTCCGTTTTCTAAATTGTACACTCTA